TCTGGGAAGAGGTCATGCCCGTGGGCTGCGGCATTTGCGGCGGCGCAGAGGGTTGTTGCTGTGGCAGAGGGGCCTGCTGGAATGACTGCTGTTGCTGAGGCTGCTGCTGGAACGACTGGTTCTGCTGACCACCCGGATAGCCCGTGAATTGGGGTTGCTGTTGCGACGGCGGCGCGAAGCCCTGAGGCTGTCCCGGATAGCCTGTGAACTGCTGTTGCATTGGAGCAGCACCAAAGCCTGTCGGTTGAGGCCCCAATCCGCCCTGGAAGCCTCCAGGTTGCTGGAAAGACCTTTGCTGGCCATATCCAGGCTGGCCAGGTCGGGCGCTATTCGCGCCCCCTAGGTACGAGTTGGACCCTGAGAACATGGCAGGCCAAAGGTCGAGGGTCAATATGTGTTGGTGGAACAGGCGCGCATGAGGTGTAATTAATAGAGATGGACTCGGAAGAGCACCGGAGTCGTGGGAGTCGTGGGAGTCGTGAGAAGTGGAGATGTAAGGTCGAGAGAACTGGGCGCAGCGTCAGTGCTTTGTCTCGAGTGAACAGCTCTAGATGCGCTAATAAATAGCTTCGTCATCCGCATAAATAAATCACCCCAAGATCCAAACCCCAGCCAAAAACGACCACAACATCGTCCCAACTCTATTAATTTACCATCACATCTGTAGCTCTCGAAATGGCCGTCCCCAACGGAAACACTGGAATTCCAGATCTTGCACAGGTTGGTCGCGCGCCCAAGCTAGCTACCATGACCAAAAGTCCAAACTGCTAAGGTTTGTCTCAGGCATTCAAGGACCTCGAACGGGGCGAGCAAACGGCCGATGCCATGGAGAAGCATCTCAGCGCAGTGGAGAGAAAAATCAACCAACTTTTGGCAAAGGCGGAACAGGACGAGCAAAGCCTAAAAACGAAGCCAGTCCAGTCCACCGACTCGTCATCGTCCACGGAAGAAAAAGACACGGCATAAATGGCGAATCAGATAATATCCGTCCACTCTAGGACACATGCACCATGATTACCATTCAGCATTAAGCAATTAGGATATCTCGGCCTTCACAGGTGTTGTCGGGCGTACACGCTCGTGGGCATATGCATTTGGGGTAACTTTGAAACTGGAAGTAATTACATGTCTAGAACCTACTGCCATATCGGCGGGGAAGCCATCACACGGAAGATGTTCAAAAGTCTTAGATAGCTCCAATCGTTGAAGGCTCGTCCTTGACGCTAGATGGCGTGAAGAGTTGATCAAGATGAAAGACCCCATTGCTGTCCTTCTCCACCACCCCGACCTCCGTGATTATGCCATCAATGAGCTCAGCAGGCGTTACGTCGAACGCCGGGTTCCATACCTCGATGCCATTTGCAGCGATACTGACGGTCTCAACAACACCAAGATCAAGTGTAACACCGTCGTGTCTTGGTCCCTTGACCAGAGTTACCTCCTTCCCTGGTCTCTCCTCGATAACGATGTCATTTCCAGACTTGGTCTCAAGGTCAATGGTGGTCCGAGGTGCAGCAACTAGAAATTTGACTCCATGATGCTTGGCCAGAATTGCCAGAGAGTAAGTGCCGATCTTGTTGGCTGTATCCCCGTTGGCCGCGACTCGGTCTGCACCAACGACGATGCCTGCAATGTTCTCACTTGACCCCTTCAGTTGAAGAAGAGCCGCCGCCATGGAATCGGTGATTAATGTAGCCGGAATCTGATCATGGACCAGTTCAAAAGCTGTAAGTCTGGACCCTTGGTTGTACGGCCTTGTCTCGGAGCAGAAGGCATGTTTCAATGCTCCCGTCGAGTGCAGAGATCGTATCACGCCCAGGGCCGTTCCATATCCAGCTGTGGCAAGTGATCTGAGTTGTTTAGCAGAAGCGCAAAGACCGAAAGCAAATGTCTCCTTACCCTGTGTTGCAGTGCGTCAGCATACTGACCTGGCCCTTCTTTCCGGCTTCAGTGTTCTTCACGATCCATTCTGCTCCATGCTTGCCGATGTTTTCATTGTCGCTCACATCGTCTATGAGCATTTTCTGCGCTGCCTCTACGTAGGCTTCCCGAACCGCCGCACCATCCGCGCCCTCTTTAGCGGCAGCCTCCTCGACTGTGCTCTTCAATTTCCTAGCTGCATCCGCAAGGTTAACAGCAGTAGGCCGGCTGGTGACTAAGTAGTCCAATTTCTCGAGTATGAAAATCTTGACTTCTTCCGCAACCGTTGACAGCTTCATGTTGACCAGCTCCACCCCGAGAGCCAGGGCAGCTACGATAGCAATTGCAGGCGCGCCTCGCGTCCGCATTTCTTTGATAGCGTGCCACGCATCTGTGCTGGAGTAGATGTGGTCGTATTCCTCTGTATGTGGTAACTTGAGCTGATCCAGGATCTCCAGTTGGCCCCGGGAGTATTTGATTGCTTGGAGGACCATGCTGACGGGCTTCACCGAAGTCGATTAGATAGATTTGAAGACGAAGAAAAGGATTGAAGTTTGGGTTGCAATAATTAATGTTAATAAATTGCCCAAGTTGAAAATACTTTGTAGAGCACTGGAGCTCGCGCCACACCGCGGGGCATTTATTTATCGTGGTGGGCGGCCAGCCTATCACATCAAATCACACTTGTTACCTTGTAGCGTGAACGGTGGCACGGGTGGGTCTTTGTTGATTCAAGCATCACATCACACCGCACGCGAAATCTTGTTCTGGGAGATGCTTCCAATATTTGAAGGTGATGCCAAACTCTGTGGCGGAATATTAACGAGTCCAGATGACGAACAAGTAGACGCGAGACAAAGAAACGCTCTCAATCACAAGCTAATCTCGGCCTATACCTGTACAAAGGTACAAAGGTATAGTAACGCAGGTTCCACCAGAAACGCCGTCATGACGACATGAGATTTGTGACCACAAGACAACTTGAATCTTGGGAATGCTAACCGCCAGTGCTCCCCTCTTCTATGTAACCCATCTACACAAGGACCTCCCCATCCTCCCCCGGGCTCATACTATACAGAGTGCACTGTGACGTAGCTATCCTCACGTAGTCCGTCCTACATACCCCTACATACCCTTGTGCTGCGGCGCATGAGCATGCCTACCAGCGGCCTGACAATCACGTCCGCCATCACCCTCCCGCACTCTCCTCATCGAATTCCCCGTCTCGGTTTCGGCGTCTTCCAATCGCCTCCCCCGACATGCGTCTCTTCCTGCCTTCAAGCCTTCCGCACCGGCTACCGACATGTCGACACAGCCCAATACTACGAGAATGAGAAATCCGTCGGACGTGCTATTCGCGAATCCAAGATCCCTCGCTCGGAAATCTTCGTCACGACAAAGATACTGTCCCCGGGGAACGACGTTGAAGCCACATACAAATCGATTGTACAGAGCGTGACAAAGCTCGATGGAGACAACGGATATGTCGACCTGTTCTTGATACATAGCCCAAATGGCGGGGTTGAGAGCCGGAAGCTGATGTGGCTCGCATTGGAAAAGGCAAAAGAGCAGGGGAAGGTGAGAGATATTGGTGTCAGTAACTATGGCATTGGACATATCGAGGAAATCAAAGAGTTCGGAAAATGGCCGCCTGCGGTCAATCAGATCGAGGTACGTACACGCGTTATGTGACTGGTCCTTTGGATTCGCGTGTAAATTTCGTGGCGGTCGACTTGATACTGACGCGATATGGTTACAGCTGCATCCTTGGTGCCAACAGCGAGAGATTGTCAAGTACTGCGAGGACAATTCCATTGTCATCCAAGCCTATTGCCCACTCGTTCGCAACCAGAAAGCGCACGACAAGACTCTCCTAGCCATCTGCGAAGAGCGTAAATTAAGCCCAAACCAAGTGCTCGTACGGTACTGCTTGCAAAAAGGATGGGTGCCGCTTCCGAAGAGCGACACTCCAAGTAGAATTACATCGAATGCGGACGTTTTTGCTTTTGAACTATCGGATGAGGATATGGGAAAGCTAGATGCTCTGGACCAGGGGAAGAAAGGAGCCATTGTGCAGGCGGTGAACAACTGAGATAACCACGCTCCGGGTAGTGGTTGGGTTGGAATATGGCATCGGAAAGGTTGTCAGCATGCCACCGGGGATAACTACGAGGGGTGCTCAATCGGCCCTGAATAATAGTCTTACTCCATGTATGAAGTGGCAATGGTTTTCGTTAACGCTGACAGCTTATAGTATGGGCTTCCGCTATCTTCATACAAGTTCCCTGAGAGCACAAATAAGAACCTCCATTAACAGACTTTTTAAAATGTCAATGACAAAAACCTTGTTCGTTTTAATGCACTGTATATATTCGGCAACATTTTCCGACCTTTCATCGCATGACGTCGACGTCGACGTGCCAGACTTTGGAAATAGATATATTATATGGGGTCTCTCTATTCCACGACATTCGTATACTGTCATCGTTTACGCGCACCAATTGTCGAATAGGTAATTACGCCAACAACTTTGCTAATAAATCGACAGTCTCAGGTGTTGGAGAATAGCGTTGAAAAGTGTTGTCTAATTCTGGGAATCGTTACTGTTTTCCAAGCATATGCTGCACTACCCATGGGCTGTTGAACGCCACTGTGCAGTTATCAGACAGTGTGAAAGGTGCACTAATTATCTCATTGCGCACTTTTAACGAACTAGTTTCGTAATTATATACCCAAGTGATCTCGTTGTATTCATTATCGGACAAGGATACTCGCAGGTGTTTCATTATTATCAAGGCCAACCAACAGCCATGGAATTTCTTTGACGCCTACCAAAGCATACTCTGTACTGTGTAATTAATTAGTGTGACTCGGTGCACTTGCCCAAACTATGTATGAAGCGTGAGTCGTCCCCGACCCCGCTTCTCGCCCCACTCCTTGAATCCACTCGGCCCTCGAGCCCACAAATTGATAGAATTTCGCCAATTCTACGCTCTGAATTCCTTGATTCGTTTCAGATATATACATGTTCTTTTCGAGACCATTCATCGAAAACAACAACAACAACATTACTGTTACAAGGTTGTGTAGTGTAGTGGTTATCACTCCAGATTCTGATCTAGTATCTTCTGGCGACCCCGGTTCGACTCCGGGCACGACCTTTTTTCTTTTGTTCTTTTGAACATGTCTTTTGAACATGTCTTTTGAACATGTCTTTTTTTTCTTCTATTATGCTGAATGTGCGTTCTGGAACTGGTGGCTGAGGGTTGATTGAGAGCCTGTGTCGCCTGAAATGAGGTGCCGAGCAATATTCTTTTTCCTTGCCTATTTATTCAAGGGGTTGAGTTTATTTTGTTTCCTACAAGAGGCCTCTACAGTTCTGCACCGAATCGTTTCACATGGCTGCTGACCCCCAAGGCCACCATTCCCGCATTATCAACTCAATAATTAATGTCTCTTAAATATTCCGAGAAGTATTAAGTAAGCAACATAGCACTTGCTTGTTAGAGGAGTCTGAGATATTGAGATGACGAGGTCAGAAAGTAGCATGACAGTGGGAACTGTAATCAACATTATTCTGTAGTGTAAGGTGATATAGAAGTATTCGTTGCGTACAATATTAGAAGCTAGATTTCCATTGGCAAATGAACGCATTGCAAAACATTTTCTTTGGAAAATGTTGAGATATCGTAGACGAACTATCGATTACTAAGCATACTCAACGGATAGTCAGGCAGGCAGGCGGTCGGAGCTAGCTAGCATAAAGAAAGACCGAGCCGCTTCAACCTCACCTTTCATATCGGCCGCCTCTGACACCAACTCATTCCTCTCCCACATCCCTTGCCATTACAATCCATTTATCCTGTTACTATATACGCGCAATATTCCTGAAGCTTCACATTCTTATTATACCCCTCCTAGAGCACCCTGGTCTTTCCGCAAAACCCCCAAACCAAAACGAACCTTTTTTACCTCGGACGAAGTGAGCAGTAGGCTGCGCATAACCGCCCATCATGAACGCCCCCGATAGGTACGTCAGCTCTACAACCTTTTTAATCTCTCCCTATAGCTTTCGGATGTCCTCGATGAGCTTGGTACGCGGTTTCTACGATTGGTGGAGAGTCGGTCTTTCACTTTGATCACCATCACCGCCATCACCACCTACCTGTTCACCCACAACAGCAACGCGCACCGAGTCAAAACTATGGCGCACTATCTATACAAACTCTTCTTTCTGCGAACAGCTCACCTGCTGCTGCAACAACTCCGTACTCAACTCCACCAACATCAACCTTGTTGTACTACAACTGCACCCGAATTCACCGCACCTTCACCAAGATGACGAACCTCTTGGGACAGCTCATCGAGGACAACCCGAACGCCGTGCAGCGAGATAGCCGCCAGAACAACCACAAATTGGGACACAAGCCTGACTATGATGCTGGAAATAGATTCGAACTCTTCCTCCTCGATGAAGGACAAAAGAAGGTGGAGATGAAGGATGAGACCAGTAAGCTATTTTCTATTCTTCCCTCCCCCTCCATCCCCTCCAGAAAAGGTGCTGACCCCTCTCACCCTAGAAACTCCCAACACCTGCGTTTTCACATTCAACAAAGAAGACCACACGCTCGGCAACATGCTCTCCCAACGCTTGCACAAATACGACTTCATCATCTTCTCCGCGTACAAGGTGCCCCACCCGCTCTTCGCGACATTTGAGCTGCGCGTCACCACGGATGGAACAAAGACACCAAAGGAGGCTGTCATCCTGTGCTGCCAGGACATTGTCAAGGATCTCGATCAGCTGAATCGCAGCTTCACGACCGAGTGGCTCGGCAAGCGCATCGTCAGCGAGGGCGATGCGGAGCGTGCAGCGCGGGAGCAAAACAACTTTTGAGCCATTCATCATAGCTCTTGTCTCGCATTAAACTGAGCATCCCGCTTGGAGTTGCTCCGGTCTTGAAGAGCTTGGCATGTAGAGGTTGGCAGGACATGCATTTTTTTGGGCGTTACAAGATGGCGGACGATTGGGTTCTCGCCTACGGGCTGGCGGCGTAATGGCGTGTACAGTGCCCGATTTCTCTGAGATGGCACGAAGCCCTGTAGTTTAGTTCGTTACAAGGCTATGTATGACTGGGTACATTATTTGCGGGTTCTTGAACTGTTGTAACTGCTTAAAGCTTCGCTTCGCGCTAGGTCGAGACGATACCAACACAAACTGTCCAAATTCCACACCATTCGCTGTCTTATTTGACATATTGATGTGGAGAAACTCGGAATAATAGGTAGAAAACTCAAAAACCAAAGTAGTCAACTGTTACGTTGGATTGTTGTTGCGAGGTTTCATTGGCAACGTATACCGGCAGGGATATTACATTAACGCATTGCGCTGCCTTCAGAGCAATACTAATTAAGCCCCTCGTAGTCGCTAATAATGCTTTTGGGTATCTATATATCGCTGTAGTTTTCCCCGAGGGTGACGGATTTGTTATAGTACATACCGCGGCCTTGTAGCTGCAACTTGAAATTCCATCCAACTTAGATCTTCGCACACAAATCCACCGATGATAAAAAAACAGACAAGAGAGAGAGAAGGGAAGATCTGATATAACGGAAGCACACACCTCACCCCAACGCCTGTTACCCCCCCCCCCCCCCCCCCCTTCCCCCCCCCCCCCCCCCCCATGAAACACATCCCGCTTCCCAAAGATTCTCGTGAGTTTCTTGAGTTTGAAATGCTGCTTCAAGTGGTCGTGGCGCCACCGAGCAGCCTCTCGAGATCGGCCAAGCCAGCGCCGGCCCTCCTCCTCCCCTTCCTCCGGCTCTCCCTCTCGGCAAACGCTAGACTCATGAGCCTTCTCTTGTCCTCCTGGATGCCGAGCACCTTCTCCTCGACACTGTGTTCGATGACGAGCCTGAAGACCTTGGTCTCACGCTTCTGCCCCAATCGATGCACGCGATCGACGGCCTGGTCTTCGATCGCAGGAGCCCACCACGAGTCGGCCATGATGACTTGATTGGCAGCTACGAGGTTCAACCCTACACTACACACAGCGAGGGAGGCGAGCAGGACGGTGGTCTTTGGGTCAGAGTCCAGCGCTTCGAGAGCGGCGTCGCGATGTCTGGCCGACATGGAACCATCGATACGCGTGAATGTGATATTGTTCGCTGCGAGATGGGGTTGTATGAGGTCGAGGAAGGACGTCCATTGTGAGAAGACGATGGTCTTGTTCGTTGGGTCTTTGGCAGAAGCTTTTAGGATGGACAACAGCGCCTCGACCTTTGACGAGCACTCGCTGTCGAGGGACTCTGCATCGCGGAGTTGTTCCTGCGTTGGCGGAGGAGGGGCTGCTTTTTCTTTTGCTGGGGGGACCGTGGAAGTGGCAAGACTCTCCAGCTCAGCGCGACACATCGGACACTTGTGCTGTCTTGAAATGAATTGTTCGGCACAGTTGGTGCAGAACACATGGGCACATTTCGTGATGACAGGTTCATTACATGTGTCCATGCACACTGGACAATCCTCCTGGCTATCAATCGAAAGCTGGAGCAACTGTTGCAAGGCGTGCTTGTTCTCTTCCGTCAGATCCAAAACGCCTTCCTTTTCCAATTGATCCATGACGAAACTGAGACGTTCTTCGCCGACGAGCTTCCAGTGGTTGCACAACTGACGCATGCGCAGGAGCACTTCGAGCAGATGGCGATAGGTGTCTGCCTTGCGATTGTCGCCCCTGAGTGCATCTAGAGTGCCCTTGGCCTGCGCCTCCAATGCGTCATACTTCTCTTGCTCGTGCGATAGGAAAGTGATCTTGTGGACATATTCAGACAACTCGGGGAGACGGAGGTCGATGAAGGCCATTTCCTTCTTGCGGCGCAGACATATTCCACCCATGAGTAGTTGCAAAGACTGATTGCCTCGGACGTCACCTTGGTTGACGGGTCGAATGATGGCGCCGTGGAAGATATCCATATTGTCAAGACCGCCAGTGAGGCGCAGGAAGCGAACAAGAGAATACAAGTCCTTCAGATTGTTGATGATGGGTGTTCCGGTAAGAACCCAACGGGACTGTGCCAAGAGATTCGTGGCGGCTACAGTCTTTTTCGCCTTTGGATTGCGTATGTTATGCCCTTCATCTAGAATTATGCGGCGCCACTTGACAGAAAAGAGTCCCGATTGCCTCGGAAGTGTAGGTGACTTCTTAGAGTGCCATTCGCTAGAAACACTGTCGTAGGTAGTGATGACTACGTCGAATCCGCCGATAGATTTCGGAGTGATGGGCTGTTTCCTTGTGCCGTGGTAGAACATGACGCGCAGACCGTGCCCCTCTTTAAGATGCTTCTTCATCTGAGTGCTCCAATTGGACATGACGGAGACAGGAGCCAGGATCAGAGTGGCATCGCAAGTGTCGTTTGCTCGACGACCGAGGGCCCTATCTGCCACGATCAACGAAATTACCTGGATTGTCTTGCCAAGACCCATATCATCGGCTAGGATACCACCAGAAGCAAGTTCAGGATTGTGTATAGAGTAGTTGGTAGCCAAATTAGTGAAGGCGTTCTGTTGAGTAGGATGTCGCTGCCAGAGTTGCACCACGTCCTTCGTCCCAGCAGCGGGGAGCTGCGGGCTCTCTTTGTCAAGCATCCACTGCAGCCCTTGGAGCTGGAAGTCATGCAGCTCGGTAAGCAAAGCCTCTGGTTGGGCTGCTTTGGACATATTGGCCTACATATATCAGTCAGCTGCTTGTTCAAAATCGCAACAAAAAAGACTTACCAAATCATCCTCCTTCATGCCGAACGTCTCGACAGCCTCTGCCACATTCCTTGGATTGAAACGTTCACTAGCGCCAACGATATCGTCCAGACTAGGTCCAAGGCCCATGCCCTGAGAGGATCCTGCGGCAAATTCACCCATCGGATTCTCGAATTGCTGTCCGTGGCCCATCGCAACAATCGCTCCACCTTTCTTTCTAGCATCTCTGGCAGCTTGTTCCGCGACCTTCTTCGCCAGTGCCTCCTTTCTCTTCCGATCAGCCGCGTTTCCGACCGGAAGTTTATCCGCTCTCATTCGTGCCAGTAGGTTCTCTCGTGCTGCAGGCTCGTTCGTACCATAGAGTCTAATCTCAATGGGACAGTCGTAGTGTTTCGAGCCCGTAATCTGCGT